AGTCGGACATAATTTTTTTTAAACTGAGGTCAAATATCTGAACTGCATCAACCTTCCAATGGACTGTTCGTTAAAAAACTGTTAATAACTTTTTTTAGAACAATAACTTATAGGTGCAAAGAAGTGTTTCTTTCAGACTTTTTTCTCCAGGGGGTCAATTGACATTTTCTGAGGGGGGGGGGGGGGCGGCGGACTAAATTTTCCGGGGTGGGGGGGGGGTGTGGCGGACAAGTATATATTTTCTATATAAATTCCATTTTGTTCGTCGTCGTCGTCGTCCACCCGTCGTGCCCCCCCCCCCCCCCACGCCTCGAAGATAGGCCTGGAAGTAATTCTGGTGTATATAAACTGTTTATTTAAAAAAAAAAATGGAAAATAAAAAAGAAAAATAAGAAACTGGATAAAACGATGGTGTTGCTCTAGTGACCTTGCAGCTAATTAAAGACAGTCACCGATAGTAGCGGGCCCTGTTTCAGTCTTAAGTTCAGCTAGGTCATTGATATTGTTTATTAATTTGAAACATTAAAAAAAAAGAGTCCTAAATGAGGCACGTGCTAATTAAGACACCGGCTACTTAAGCAAACTAAAACATCTTAAGAAAACAATTGATCAAACAAGAAGAAAAAAAAATTAAAATAATTTTTTTAAAGAGTTTTATAAACTAAAGAACAGTCATCGTTTTGTTCGTCCTAGTAGCCGCCCTTGAATTTAAGATGGCTGTTGACGGTGAAAAGATTAGCATCAACGGGATGATGGTTAGAAGAGCTCATCAGCTGGAGCCATCGGCCCTGTTGGCTCTGTTGGCTCAAGGGCTGAGCACTCTCCGCCTTCTCCACTTTCTCCAAGCGGCGTTTTCTCAATCCTCTGCACGTGGTTGTAATTGTAACCGTGGCGAATTTTTTAATCGCGGAAAGTTTAACGGTCAATCTACGACCGCCGACGAGCATATTGAGATTTGTTTTAGCTCGAACTACTACTTTAAACCCTATCCAGTCTTAGCTATATGGCTAACTCTTATCAACCCTAACTATAATCCTTATCCAAGACAATATTATAATCCTGACACTAACCCTAGGCTAAATTTTGAACGAATATTCTCATGAACCTTGACACTAGCTCTCAATCTAAACCCTAAACTAGCCCCGAACATGGCTCAAATCCTGACTCTAAAACTAACCCTCTCCTGTATCCTAACCCTAATCTTAATTGTGAACGTCGTAAACTAATCCTTGCCCTGATCCTTGCCCTGATCCTAACCCTCCGTCCTAACTAATCCATACATAACTAATCCATACATTAACTGCGCTGACCGCAGAAAAATTACTCATTACGTGAGCACTCCTTTATTTTTATTGTCACCTGTATAGGTTTTAATTTTGTTGCAGTAGATTTAATCGTGTAGCTATTATAGAGGAACGATAGCTTCAATGAGGACATTAATAAACATTACTACATAGGTAAAATGTTAACATACAGGAACACTGTGGGACTTAATTTTTTTTTAAATATATATAGAGGCTGGGTTTTTTTTTTATTTAAAAGTCTTTTTTTTTTAATGTATAAAATGCGCATGAGTTGTATTTGTTTTCTATCTTTCTCACTATATAATCTATATATTACACGTGTTTATTAATTGATCTTCAAAAGTTGTTTTTTTACTGAAAAATACTCAACGCGAACTTCAAAATGAGTTGAAATAATTCTCATTTGTCGCCCTCTAATTTCAAATATTAATTGCCCATATCGTCATGCCTTGTATCCCTAGGGAAAAACAGACCATCTTTTGTTTTAAGTGAACATCGGTTCGTTTTTTTATTGTATTTTTTGTAGTGGAAAACACAAAAAGAACGGCACGTGCGAACGAGAAGAAACGAAACAAACTCCGCTATTATCTCCGGGTGTTTTTCCCCTCTTCCATGTTTTACAATGACTTGAACTTTAACCCCATTTCCTCATTGATACACAAGCGGTGCCTGGGCTAGGGCGTCTTAGTGTTCCGCGCCCTTATTTTTCCACCATGCTTCCAACATATAAAAAAAAATGAACTGTGACCGTCATCGAATTCATGTGTGTTTTCGGAATTTTTCCAATTAATTTTTTTTTCAATAGCCCGTAGTCATAAACGCCCCTCTTTTTGCCCAACTCACTTCCTTGTTTTTGTTTAAGAACGGGTTTGTGAAAAATAATTAGTGCATGTACTATCTATATTCTAACTCTACTTAGAAATGGGGGAGGGGGTGAGAATACTAACTACTAAGATGTTAATGAACAAGCGATTATTTTATTTTTCGGTTTTTGTTTTTATCTCTGTCTAATAAAGCCGCAATATTGGAATCTTTTTTTTTTAAACATGATGATATGTGACTGGTAGTAAACTATAAACTATAACCAGTGATTCTTTCGGTCATTTTTTTTTCTCCGTGGGGGCGGGGGACAGTGGCGTCGCTAGGTCGGGTGTCACCCAGCGTGGCCCTTCGTGGTTTTACCCCCCCCCCCCCCCCCTCCCCAAGAAACAAAGTATATATATACTTGTCGATTTGTACTTAAACGACTATTTAACTTTCATTAATCATTAATGGAACTGACAAAAAGCCTTTTTTTTTTTTGCACATTTTGCATTTTTTTCCCCTGGTGTCACCCCACTAAATGGTGTCACCCGGTGCGATCAGCATCCCCTCCCCGCCCTTGCAACGCCTCTGGGAGGGGAGATCAGTTGAGATTTTTGGAGGGGAAACTTAAATTTTCAATGCGGGTCGAGGGGGAAGCGGACACTGGTTAAATTATACATTTTCTAGAAGCCTATTAAATATATTTTTTCTATTTCGTTCGAGGGGTGGGGGACGGACGGTAGATGTGCTCCTAAGAGATGCCTGAAAGAACTGAAAAAAAAACAACCTCTAACCTATCCTTCCATAGTTCTAATCCTAATTTTCGGCCCTAAAACCTAACCTAAATCTATCAAAACTAACACGTCTAGATTTTTATTTGAAAGAGACCACTGGTGGAAACGCGTTTCGTCTTGTTAAAATATCTGGTTGATATTGAAAGCTCAATTTTTTTACTATGCCGGATGACCGGTGAAGGGTTTACTATGCCGGACGACCGGTGAATTATTTACTATGCCGGATGACCGGTCATTTACTGTTCGTGTCGCGGTTGAGTCCGTAAACCACGGCTTTTGACAAAAACCAACCCAAACAATCAAACTTCCGATTTGCAGCTTAATATAAAAATCCCACCTTTTCAAATACCACCATTTCAACAACAGTAAGTTCATAAAAAAAAACTTGCAAATTTTGAATGGTACAGCTTTAACAATACCACGTGGTCTGGGTGAAAAGGGGACCCCCGTGTTTCTTGAACCCGCAGCCCCTATTTAACGAATGTTTAAAGAGTCCTTCCGGTGCAAACACGCGATGCAGCAGGACAAACAAATTAGCCTTGTGCACACTTGTAATTCGGAAGGGTGAGCAAATGGACAACACAAGAGAGGTGGGGGCGGGAAGGGGGGGGGGGGAGATTGTGGAATGTTGTCTCTACTGACCCCCACACCCCTCCCGTATGTTTGCCGGGCTGTCCGTATCAAATGATTTTATCAAGCGACTAATCAGAGGTTTTAATTAGCAGCCGGGGTCAAAAGGATTCGCCTTCTGCGGCGCTTAGTCTGGCCTAAATCGATTTTTTTCCCTTTGATAAATTTTCCTTCCTACTCAAACGCATTAGTACTTGTACAACAAAATGAATGAGCACTAATTTAAAATAGCTTTTCTAGTTGTGTATATAGTTGTGTATGTATTAGTAAATAGTCTAATTTTTAAAACTATTTATAGTATAACATATTTTTTTAAATTGTTTCGTTTTTTTTCCACATCGTGAATTCAAGTTTTTAATTTTTTTAAATGACCTAATATACTGATTATTAATACTTCCCAACTCTGATTTGTGTTACAACACCTTTATTAGGCCAGCAAATGTGAAAATGCTTTGTTTTCAAAAAAAAAATAAGATAAAATACAACCAACTTGAAACGTTGTCACAGAAATTTCCGCCACAGTTACCACAATAGACACGTCACCACTACAAGCCACCCAACTCAACTACTCATCTTTTTGTTTCTCAATGGCGTTTGGAAAAGCAATGTGCATTATTATATGCCGTATTGTTGGCCGCCTCGAATAATTTAAAAAAAAAAACTGTCTTTCAAAGGCATATTTTACAAAACAAGTTTAAGTACTTTTGACAACCCCCCTAGACGCTATGACAAAAATATCAGGTTGGCTCTTATTCATACTTTTGTAACATTATGCAAATTCATATGCTAATCCGCCTATTACAAGTTACGTTTTTTTTATTATTATCAAGACTGCAGTGAATGAGCAGTGAGCACTCATTGGGATAATTACTTTATCCCTGTCGACTAACTGTTTGTTCGGGTCATTGTAAGACTTTAACCCTTGAAATTGTTCCCTTCGTTGTGAATATTTACAGGAACTATTTTTACATTTAACACGTCATGACTAATTAGACAAGTAAAAAAAAATGAGAATTAAAACTCCATTTACACCCCCTGCAGTGAATGAGGATGACCGCGCAGTAATGAAATGGCAGGGTGGGGTGGGGGGGGGGTGTACTAACTCAGTTCACGACGGGAATTATCGTACGGTTATTAGAAATGAAAGGCTTTAAAAATGTGGGCCCGGGCGTCAAGCGGGACAACTCAAGTGAAACCGCATGCACGATTTTTTTTTTTTTAAACAGGGGAGGGAACCCTTTTTCGTGTCGTGACAACAGAGTATTGTATTCTGTGTGGGACGACTCAAGGGGAGAGAATCAAACATATCTTTAACTACCCACGGTAGTAATTTCTCTTCCTTTGTATAACATCCCACCCCTTCCCCCCGCCTACCCGTTCTATTTCAAACGGGAGTGAAGATGTGTTCAGGACAATACATTACCCTACTTAATCAAAGTTAATCGAATCTGATTTAATTTTTCCTGTTTTTATTTACCAAAATTGTAAAATATACTTCTATATAAATTTTTCAAACATAATTTGTAAAATATAAAATTCGCACTTTCACTCTCATACTCATGTTCAGACAAACTCAGTCATCTAATATATAGTTCATCTAGCATTCATACTCAGTGCTTCGAATTGCAGAATAAGATACTTAATTATCCTTCCATTTTCACAACTTAAATAATATACAAATGTACATGATAATAATATACATATATAGGTATATGTAAATGTATAAAAATCGCACTGTTACTTATAATAAACGACATAAATCATCCCATAATTCAGTATGTCTTTCACATTGTGCCATCCTTCTTTAATCTTCTCCACCAAAAATTTATTAACTAATTATCCCAGCCAAATCGCCCCCACCCCTTTTTTCATTCTTCTTCTTCTTCACCCTCTCGTAAGTCTAAATTATTATTTTTTTTATCACACAAGTGAAGAGTGAGCCGTGTTGTGAAGTTTTTGTGAGGGATGCCACTCCGTGATCACACGTCCCGGGGAGAGGCATTCTGGTCTGGGGGCGTGGTCTGATCTGGAGAGCGCACGTGCAGGCATTCAGTGGCCGTGGTGAGCTGATCGGTGGAGTTCTGAGAGTGACAGACATCCCTTGCACACACACTTGAGAAAATTAGGGGGGACAATTAGACGATGGGGAGTACAGGGGTGGGGGGGGGGGGGGTGGTAGTAGGGGGGTACGGGGTGGAGGAAGATGGTGGTTAGGGATTGGTGGAGGTCGTTTGGAATATAGTGATTTTGGAATATCGTAATGTTGGAATAGTGTGGTATTGGAATATCTTAATGTTGGAATATCGAAATGTTGGAATATTGTGATATTGGAATACCGTTATGTTGGAATATCGTGATATTGGAAAATCTTAATGTTGGAATATCGTAATATTAGAATATCTTAATGTTGGAATATCGTGATATTGGAATATCTTAATGTTGGAATATGGTGATATTGGAATATCTTAATGTTTGGAATATCGTGATATTGGAACATCTTAATGTAGGAATATCGTGATAATGAAACATTACGAGGGGGTGGGGGGATTGATCGATGACCATATGGAAGGAATTTTATAACGGATAGAAATTCGTAATGGCGATGTATAGTAGTGATGGAATATCCAGATGGCTTCGATGGATTATCGAAGGGTGGAATTTCAAGACTATATAATTCTGTAATGGGTTAAATATTGTGATTGGTATACATGTGTGAATGTGGCGTTTAGTTATGGGTGAATATCTTGTGTGGAATTTCGTGATCGGGTGGAGGAATTTCTATAAGGTTGAATTTCATGATATGTACAACACAGAGATGGATAAAAATTGGTTAATAATTAATTGAATATTAAATACTTTAGACAGTACTTGAAATTAGTCTAATTACCACTCTTATATTGATCATCAGGGGTGGACTGGCTGTGTCTAAGAGGCCTGGGAAATTTTCAAAGAGCCCCCCCCCCCCCTCCCCAACAAATCTAGATTGAAATTTTCATTGTGAATTTTTTTCCCATCAAATCGAACGTTACACCTTGGTATGTAGTCATGGAAATGGTAAAACGGAGAAATAAAAGCAAATTAATTTTTTTTAAATCAAAATACTAACTATTACTACAGCCCCGTAGTAATAGTCCAGGGGGCTTTTAGATTTTATCCTGGGGCCCACCGAGATTTTTTCCGGGGACCCTTTTAGATTTTATACTGCGGCCCACCGGAAATTTTTTCCGGTAGACAGGCTGGTCAGTCCACCCAAGTTTATCAGTACTTATAATTAGTTTAATTACTAGACTAGTCACCGTAAGCATGTTTCGATCGATGAGTACACACATCTAACAGAACTCACTACTCATATAATTAGTTTAATTACTAGACTGGTCACCACATGCATGTTTCGATCGATGAGCACACACATCTAACAGAACTCACTACTCATCCGACAGATCAACCGTCGCGTCCAAGCCGATCTTTGAGTTGGACGATAAAGTTTCAGGGCTGACATCCAATGGCAGGTCCTCTAGGTCAAAACTGTAATGATCCTTGCCCATTCGAAGTGATCTCAGACGGCTTTGCTAGTAGCATAGAAAACGTGTTTTATATGTTTTTGAACTTACCATGGTCAACTTTGAATCTAACGTAAAATAATATTGAATAGTAAAATAATTTGATGCTAAATCATTAATATGTATTGATATTTTAAATGGTTGTTTAGTAATTCTAGGTAACTTTGGTGATAATTACAATTAACTATAAGCTTAAATACTTCTTAGATTTATTTAGATTGACCTTAAATTATTATAAAAGAAATTTTGAATATTTCCCGTATTGGTTTCTGCTTTAGGCACATAAAACATCAGCGATATTTAAAAAATTGATACACAAAAATTCCATCGGTTACTTTACGTGCTAGATTTATGAGAGCGTATGGTCTGGATTAATGTGAAGGGGTACGCTAATATTTGGGCATAGGATTGTTTTAAAATGTTAACAAAATGGTCGACGTCGTTTGTCATTTAGGTCGATAATGTAAGAACAGTAGTTTCATAACGGGAAGCAAGTCTTACACACCCCCTCTTACCCTAGGGGTCGTCCATAAACCATACGACACTCCTATGGGGAGGAAGGGAAGTCGGAATTTCGTGTCATTATGAGAAGAGGGGGAAAAAGTAAAAGTAAAGTTTCCCTTTCAAACCTGACGGTCTATGGGGCAAGTGAAGTAGAGTTCACTTGTTTTTGTGACCTCGGCATATGAAGAGGGGGAAATGGGGTTCAAAAGTGTGATGATACACTTTTGCATTTAAAAAAATAAATAACTGAATTTTAGACGTTCTTTTTTGGTTTTTAAGAGACTGTTTTTAACGTAATAGAAATGTATTAACAAAGTCAATGTTCACCATGCTTGGGCTATTATTTAGAAAAAAAAAATTGTTTAAAAAAATGCTATTTTGAGGAGGAGGGGTTGTAGGCTGAGGTGTGACGTCATTTTAGTAAGGGATGTGGTTTTTTGTGACTTTAGAGATGGTGAGGGTAAAAATTGTCAAAATTGACATTTACAACCCCCCCCCCTTCCCCACCACCACCACCTTACCTCTTCCATCATGAGCTCTAGCTCCTGCAGCCCGTCCCTCGTGAGCTCATGGTTGGAGTTGTAGCCCACCCCCACACAGCCGCCGTCACTCACGCGGAACGTGGGGGGCGGCAGGCGACTGACGCCATCAGCACTCATGACGCGCTCGCCCTCATCGCCTACGTCAGAGGCGGAGTTGCTGCAGTGTAGGACTTTAGGTGGGGAGTCGGTCTGTAATGGGGGTGGGGGGGGATAATCAGGTGGTTCGTGACTCAAGGTTGGAGCATCAACAGGAGTTAGTCACAAGAATATATTAAAGAGGTGAAGATTAGAGAGATGAGCCAGGGTGTTTTAGAGATGAAGATTAATTAGCCATAATGGTTTGGAAAAGATGAAGATTAATTAGCCATAATGGTTTAAGAGTGATCAAGAACATAAACTGCCTTTCTTCGCACATCGTAACACAGTTCTGCTTTGTTTTATAAATCGCAACTGACTATAAAATGCCCAAACTCACTTACCCTAACTAACCATAAACTGCCTAGCATTGATGATCCTAGTTAATAGTAGTAAAGTTCCTCTTTAGACCTAGCGATCCATTGAAGTAGAGTTCTAATGTTTCTTGACCTCGGCATGTGAAGATATAGTGTCTTCAGCACTATGCCCAGCCGTCTTAACTTTCCCCAAAGTAAGGCAGGTACCCATCAAAGCTGGATGGACTCTAGGACGTCCAACAGTCAAAAGTCCGAACCAAGACCCAATCTCGAGACACACGACCACTCCCTCTCATATCCTAACCTATCCTACAATATCTAGTCCCCTGTATCACATCTACCTCCTCTACCCAAGTCTACTCACATTCCCTACGATACAAATATCCGAAGCGTAGGACGACACCTCACATTTTCCATGGACCGGGGTACCCATACAGTGTAGGGATGCCACGATTTGCTTGGATCTTACTGAAAACAAAAACACAGTGTAGGGATGCCACTATTTGCTTGGAACTCCTTGTATTGTCATATATAATACAATGGATTATATATTGGATGGTCGTATATTATACACACTCACAAAGCCTACATACACACACACACACACATATATATATATATATATATATATATATATATATATATATATGACCCTCCCATACAGGGGCGGAACTACCATACCGCCAGACCCCGCAGTGCGGGGGGGCCCAGGACGTTTAGGGGCCCATTTCCGACCAAAAAACAATGAATTTTTTTTTTCAAAAATTATGTTTTCCATGCATCTTAAAAGTGGTTTTGTAAAAAAAAAAAAAAAAAAAAAAAAAAAAAAAAAAAAAAAAAAAAAAAAAAAAAAAAAAAACAGGTCTACTATAGCAGAGATTGTTGCGTAGAAAAATATTTTAAAAATCTCCAAGGGCTATAGTCTGAAAGGTAGGCAAACATTCACACAACTTCCATGACTTACTGCCCTTCTTTAAAAATAGGGATGCCCACGAATCTCATTTACATAGTTTTGTACTATGTATAGTAAAAAGCAATTGATTCTCTGAATTGTTATTTAAATAAGACGTACTAAACAATGGTATAGATATAAAAATCAATGTTTTCAAAATTGGTATTATAAAAGCCAAAAATGAAAAAAATAAACATAACGCGAGAAACCATTCACGAATTAAGCTTACGTCTTTATATATTTTTGACCAGTTAAAAATGAAAGGCGTAAGTACAAAGAAAAAATGTGTCTAGTTTGTTCTCTCAGAATGGTTATATATTGCAATGAAGTAGACTTAATTACTCTGTTTAGATACAGATTATATATATATATATATATTATATATATATTATATATATATATATATATATATATATATATATATATATATATATATATATATATATATACATATATGGGGGGCCCAAAAATTTTTTTTGCGGGGTGGCCCATTTTTTCTAGTTCCGCCACTGCTCCCATAACAAAATCTTGCCTATACCTCTGGTCCACACCACTGTTCGTTAAAATGTCTCCAAATGTCAAAATTTGCCACCCTAACGCCCTAACGACATTGTCACATAAAATAAAACAATAATTTATTCGTGTACGGTTTTTTTTTTTTTTGTGTTGCTGTTGAGTTATTAAAAGTTTATTAACACACACAGCGATCAGGTGATCGGTAAATTACCTTTCGATGGCGTTTCCTTCACGCTGCTAACATCTAGTGTGGGGGCGAAGCAGCCATTAACGCCAAGTCCAGTCACTCTCTTTTTCTTCTTCAATTTGTTGACGCCATTTTGCACGCGGACCATCTCTGTGCTACTTCGTGTGCGAATAACGCCATCCACGGTCATATTTTCACCGCTGATGTCCAGATTAACCCGAGGCTGAAAAGTTCAGAACATAATACGAGATTTTAAATATAAGACACATACATGACGTCACACTCGTAGGGGGAGGGGGGCGTGATTTTGTGATTTTGAGGGGGAGGGGATGTTCAGATAATGTGACGTCACACTTTTGCATTTTAAAAAAATAGTTTTAGCCGTTTTTTTGCTTTTTTAGGAAATTGTTTTAATAAATTGTTATAGAAATAGATTAAAATCTAATGTAAAAACATAATGTGGACCGAGCTCAGTCAAT